AGCCAAAGAGACTCCAAACTCTCTGGGGTCGGGTGTGCCTCCGTCGGGGTTCACTCGGCTTCGCCGCCCCTGGGGTTCGCCTCCCTCAGTGTTCGTCTCCCTGTCGGTGCTTGGTTCTCTCGTGTCGGGGGGGTCGCGTTCCCATGCGGCTTGCTTCCCTAGTTTTTCCGTCGGGGTTCAATTCCTTCCAGAGTCGCCTCCTGCGGGGGTCGCCTCGAACGGGTTTCGTTTCTATCGGAGTGTGGTTCCCTCGGGGTTCGCTTCCTTTGGGAGTTGCGCTGCAAGACAAATCAGGGAGTATAACACAACGGAAATGGGAAACGTAATTGCGGCTTGCCTATTGGGAGCCTCCTGGGATCCTCCCGGGGGCCTCCTGGAGGCCTCTTGGGAGCCTCCTGGGGCCTCTTGGTGGCCTCTTGGGGCCTCTTGAGGGCATCTTGGGGCCTCCTGGGGACCTCTTGGGGCCTGCTGGGAGCCTCTGGCCCCTCTGGGGCTCATCCTGGGGCTATCTTGGGCGGTCTTGGGACCCTCTTGGGTCGTCTTAGAGCTGTCTTGGGAGCCTCTGGGGCAGTCTTGTGGGCCTCTTGGGCTGTCTTGGACGCCGTGAAAGCCAAAGACATATATATATATATATATATATATATATATATATATATATATATATATATATATGCGGAAAATGTAGGTTCCCCCAAGGGAATGGAAGGAATTTTGCCTCTTGGGGCTCTCCGGGGGGGCCTCTGGGAGCTTCTTGGGGCCTCTGGGGGGCCTCTTGGGGGCGATTTTGGGTGTCTTGGAGCGGCCCGTGGGCGTCGTCGGGTCCCTCTTGGAGCGTCGTCGGGCTCTCTTGGCGCTTTCTGGTGGCGTCCGGGGCCCGTAGAGGTCGCGGCCCCGGGGGCCTGGGCCCCGGGCCCCGGTGCACTCATGGGCCTCTCAGGGCCATTTGGGCCCGCAACGATTTGGGCCTCTCAGGGCCTCCTTGTGAGGCTTGTTAGAAGCCTCTCGGGGCGGTTTGGCAGCCTCATAGCTCATGGGCCGTATGACGAACATGTGGGAGCCTCCAGGGGTCCCTGGGGCGGGAGATTGGTATCTTTGGGATCGTTTTGTGGCGCTCTTGGGCCGTCTTGGGCTCATCTTTGGCCGTCTTGGGGACATCCTGGGCCGTCTTGGGACTCACTTGGGAGCATCTGCCTCGGAGGCCATCTTGGAGCGTCGGACGGGCGGAAAGGCAAAAAGGCTAAAATCCTTCTCAAAGCCATGGAAGGTCAACCCCAGGGTGTTTGCAGTGCGCTTTGACCCTTGTTCGGCTCCTCTCGGAAGCTGTTTCGGAGCGTCTCGTGGGCGTCCTGCGGGCCTCTGGGAGCTCTCCGACTGGCGTTTGCGCGACCCCTGAGGCCTCCTGGGAGCCTTCTCGAGCGAAAACCTACGGCTTTCCGTCCGTAACCTTCACCTGAGGCTCCTCCTGGAGCCGTCTTAGGGTCCTGTTGGGCTGACCTGGGGCAATCATGTGGGGGTCTCTCGGGTGGCTTTTGCGCGCTCTTGAGCGAAGAACAACAAAAACATGGGAAACAACAATGGAAACTCAAGATGTGTTGCCTGTTGGAGCCATCTGGTGCAGGGTCTTGGACCTCTGTAGGAGCGGTTTCAAGGCGTCTGGAGCCGTCGCTGCAGCCTCCTGGGGTCTCCCTGCAGCCTCTGGGTGCCTCTGAAGGCCTCGTGTCGCCGAAACCATGTAAAACACACAAGGAAAATGACACTGTGCACCCCCATTTGTGGTAGAGGTCGCGGCCCCAGGGGCCCGGGCCCCGGTGCGCCGTTATATGTATATGAACCGTTGTAGGGGCCTATGAAGAGGGAGCTTGGAGGGAGGGTTTACTCCAACATCGTTGATGACTCTTAGGTTTACACTGGTCCTCCTCCTCCTCCTCCTCCTCCTCTTCCTCCTCCTCCTCCTCCTCCTCCTCGTCTTCTCCCGCCTCCACCCACACCTCACACTCTGCAGCCCACTCCAAACCCTCTCCGCTTCCCTCACTCCTCTTTTTCCTTGTCCTCCTCCCCGTGCATCCCTTTCCAACTCCCCCTCCGCATCCCAGTCCCCCCCCAACATTTCCCCCTTCCCCATCTTCTCCCTTTTCCTCGCTGCGACACTCCTCATATTCCTGTTCCTCTTCCGCATCGTCCACCTCCTCGTCCTTCTCCTCGTTCTCCTACTCCTCCTCCTTGCACCCCCCCCTCCCCCACCATCTGGCTGCCTCACCCTCAACTGCCCCCCTGGGCCCCAATCCCTCTGGGTCCTCTCCCCCTTCGTATCCACCGCTCCCTCTCGTTTCTCTCCTCACCATATCCCCGAACCCTCTGTTGAGGGTAACGAAGCAGCAGTCCCGCCAATGTCCCAGACGCACGGCGCGGGTGCAGTGAGGGGCGAGTGTGCTGGCACGGTGCTTCGCCCGCTGAGCCAAACTACAACACATCGCCTCTTTGCACATCAAGACGAGTAGCGGTCCGTGGCGTGAGAACATCGATGCAAAGAGTCCAAATCAGAAATGCACCAAGAAGCTGGAAGCATGCACGGCTGGATTTTCACGCGGAACATCCCAAGCGCACCTGCTGGAGATATGTGCTGCAGCCCGGCTTGCCTGGCCATAGGAGGGCCGAGCGCAGGCAAGACACCTGTAGCCAACTCTCGCCCGGGCTCGCCGCGCCACGTGTGTCAAGCTTCCTGGCAGCCGTTGGCTGCTCGTGAACCGTAGCCGTCACCAGCGCCTGGCCATCGAAAGGCCGAGCGCAAGAAAGCCATTTGTAACTTGTATCCAGCTCTCGCCCCGGCCAGCCGCGTCATGTGTATCCAGCTTCCTGGCAGTCCCTGACTACGGTCGGGATGTTGTGTTTAGCGTGTCGCGGCGGCGGCCCCGGCGACACGCTATGCCGTGCACACGGATAGCGTATCGCTCCGCTCCGGGGGGCGGGAGGCTCGGAAATGCTCGGGACGTTGACGCCTGGGGACCACGAAGCAGATAGCGTGTCGCGCCGCAGCGTGGTGGGCCAGAACCTGCGGAGCGACACGCTCAACCAACGCTCCCGAACGCATTCGCACCGTCCTTAGCTTACCAAAGATGTGGCATTTAGCTTTCACGAGATATTAGCCGCCCTTAGCTTCCAAAGATACCAGCCGTTCGTTAGATTCGTACCGCCCTTAGCTTTCAGACATGTTAGCACCACGATTCGTGAACACATTGGCGTCCTTAGCTTGCCAAGCATGGTGGGGACTCTTGTGCGGCAGCACGGCCGCACCACAAGGCCACCGCGCTCGCCCAGGGGGCGGCGGGGAGGGAGCACGGCCTCGGCGTGCTCCGCGCCCACCTTCCTGGCCACGCGAGGGAGCGGGGGGCCCCGGCGCACCCCTGGAGGAAGGACACGTGGAGGAGGAATGATGATGATGATGCTGCTGATGATGACGATGATGCTGATGATGATGATATTGATGATGATGATGACTACGATAATGACCATGATTCGTGTTGGTGCTGAAAAGAAGATGATGATGGTGATGAAGATGAATACGGATCACATGATGCTTCTTATGCTTACTGTGATGATGCGGAGGAGGACGACGATGCTGATGATGGTGGTGACGACGATGCTGAAGAGGGGTGAGGGATGAGGCTGAGGAGGAGGAGGGGTGAGGAGGATCGAGGGGAGGATGGAGAGGAAAAGTGATGATGATGATGAAAAGGAGGAGGAGGGACCAGTGCAAACCCAAGAAATACCAACGATGTTGGTATAACATTCCGTGCACGCTCCCTCTCCACAGGCCCCTGCAACGGCTCATTTCCACTGAAGGAATTGCCTCGTTGGAAGACGACCGTTTAAAGACCCTGGAGCATGCCAAAACATTATTTCCGGGACTCCGACGCCAAGAATCTGTCTGATTGTTGCGCCGTGACGATCTCGAATCGCTCCATAATGCCATTCCCGTGACTTCAGCACAGCGAATCAACGGACCTGTTGCGCCCTCATAATCCTGAATCTTCCGAACATATCATTTCTCGTGCGTTGGTCGTGGGGATCAATGAAACTCGTGCAACGACTCAAAAATAATGCGCGGGAAGCTAAAACGAAAACCACCACATTTGGCAAAGGAACCGCCCTCAATCCGCGAAGCTCTTGCATTCGCTTGAACGTGCGCAACGCAATTCCAAGAACCACACAATGGAAACCACCCAGCATCAATCCGTGAAGTTCTTGCACATGCTTGAAGGGAACGTGCACGACGCTAAATCAAAAACTACATGTTGACAACCACCCACAATCCGTGAAACTTCTGCAAATTTGTAAAACGAAATTTCGCGACGCTAAAGCGAGAACCTCATTTTGAAAACAATCAGCTCTCAATCCGTGGAACTTCTGCAATTGTTTAAACGAATGTGCGCGGCGCGAATGCGAAAACCACATTTCGAAAACCACCCGCCCTCCATTTGGGAAGCTGTTGTGATGTCAGTGCTAAGATTCCCGATCATAGACGGTGAAGACGTCTCAGGCGAAACGCCCGGCCCTCCCTAAAAATTAGCCTCGGGGTGCGACAGGAAGAGGTTATGAATAACAGAAAGAGAGGAGGAGCAGAAGGGATGAGTAGGAGGAACAACAAGGAAGCAGACAGGAGAGGAAGGAAACGATTGAGGATGACAATGGGGAGATGAGGAGCAAGAAAGAGGAAAGAGGGGCGAGGGAGGATGAGGAACTGGAAAAGAAGGAGGGGGACGAGGAGGAGGAGAAGGGTGGACGTGGTCCGAGCAAACCCAACACGCATCAACGGCGTTCGAATCCACTCTCCTTTTGCGAGGTCCCCATCGCAGTATAATCCCTACAGGCATTCGCTTCCCCTGTGAGATGCGCCCCCCTGGAAGACGAACGCCCCATGGGCCCACAGCTGGCTGCAGCTCGGCTTTGAAAGAAAACAGCGTTCCAGTCTTCGGTGACAAGGAAAGCGGCATACGATGGGGTCATATAATCCACGGAAAAATCCAACGAAGACTCCGCTTTGAAAAGGACCGCCCTCTATCCGTGCAACGTGTCTGGAACGATAATATATTATGCGGGGTGGCCGGCCAACCTATCCAAAGGCGTGCTAGAATCGACCGCGCACGCGTGGCGGCCCCCGGGGTCCCCAAAGGAAGAATACCCAAGGTCCCGGTAATTTCCTTCCCGGGATTCCAAAAGAGGCCCCCGAAATGGCCTCAAGATTACCATCTAAGAGGCCTCCCAGAGTTCCCCAAGATGGCCCAACAAGGCCGCAAGACGGCCCACAACGCTCCCAAGACGGCCCAAGAATCCCCCAAGACAGCCCCAAAATGGGGAAGGACAATTCTCGGAGACCGCCTGTAGGCTCCCAGGTCCTTCAGAAGCCCCTCCGGAAACACCCCGAGGCCCCCCGGTAGCTACACAGAGGCCCCAAGATGCCCCAAGAATGCCGCAAGAAACCCCAGAATCTCCCAAGATTCTCCCCATGGAATGAAACCTGTTTGCTCGACGGAGCGCCTGGAGCCTCCAGGTGCCCGTTGCGACGGAAAGTGACGCAGCTTGGTACATAGCCAATATGATGTCGAAGAGCACCCCGAACATCTTGAAATATGCACCGTCTGGCGAGATGGCGTCCAACATGTGAAAGCTGTCCTCGTCCGGGTCGAACGCGACTTGGTTAGCGGCCCCACAGCTGTGGAAAGCAGCCCGGCACGCCGTATAATCACGGTTGATGCTTGCATTGCCACAAGCTCCAGGGCACATTCGCCAACACTTGAGGTCATTCACAAAAGCGGTCTCCACGAAACCAATGGCATTGAATGCTGCATGAACATCGGAATGATAGATGGCCCAATGCACTAGTCCAGTATACTTGGTTGTAAATCTTGAGGTCGTTGGCAATGTAACCATCGACGTAGACTTTGGCAACCCGGGCAGCCAGCCACGATTTGATGACTTTCAGGGTAACCGCGAATACCCCACGTGCTTGTAAGTTGCCCACCAAGCGCGCAGCACTAATCCGGTAAAATATTGCAGGCACGTCAGAACAGTAGGGAGCGACGTGCACACCAACGCCCAGAGCCCAAGTCCATTGGAGGACATTGAATGCGAGAGCGTACCTGTAGCCTCTCTTACTGTGGTACGCGAACTGGTTGTCACCATACGAATAGGACGCCTCGAAGAAGGGAAGCACGAATCGGGCGAGAATGCGTTCTACCAGCTTGGAAGCATTGGATGTTAAAAGGTCGTGTTTTGAGCCTCGGGGCTCCTGGGAGACATTCGGATACACATGAATCCGTTTTCCGCTACGATAGGAAATCAATTCGGCACACCCATCACGCAGTTCGTGCTTGTTGGGCGTGCAGCTGACCCTCGAGCCGACTCCTTGCCGCTTCAGATCGTTACACCCCTCGCACACGTCGTGTCCCATAGACCCAAAAGGCCTTGAGCTGGCCTCCAACACCGCCTAATTCCCCCAAGAGGCGCAGATACGCCCGCAGGGAACGTTGCGACGATTGGTACTGAACTTCGTCGAAGCAACACCCCTGACACCCTCCAACACCCTCAAGAACGGCCCTCCATCCGTGCAAGCATAGCACAGCATTGAACTTTTTGTAGCACAAATGAGCAGGAGCTGGAATCCATTTGCGTGAGTACTAAGTCTATGTGACGCCAATGCGTGTAACGCCAAGACGAGACGCCCCTCTCGTAAACTACGTTGGATCCGAGAACTCGTGGCCACGATCTCTTGCACATCGCGCTGAATGAGCGCTCGCAAGGCCACGGCTCCTGCAAACTCATGGTGAGCCCGAACTTCAGGAGTCACGATCCCTGGTGAGTTGCGCTGGAACGACGCTCCCAACATCACGATCTTTGGTTCATTCTCCTGCATCCGTGTCTGATGGCCACGATCTCCTATAAATTGCTATGGCACCACGTTTCTTAGACGCGACTCCCGTATAGCATTGCTCCAAGGGACGCCCTTCAGAGGGACTCTAGAAGCCTCCAGTAAGCCCCCCAACGAGCAGCACGAAGACCTAAACACTGGCCTCATATGGCCGAAGATTAACCCAGTGGAGTCCCAAGGACCCAAAGAGGGCGCATCACGAGAGCGGAAGCAACTTGGGTAGCCAGGAAAAGAAATGTATCGAGTAGGCGGTAGACGACGGCGACGATGGCGGCGAAGGATCCCCTGATGCCTGCGCAGAGGGGGCGGCGCCAGTGGCCGAATGCTTTCATACAGGAAGTGTGCGTGTATATAGATAACTATATGCATCTGCAATACAGACATCGGGAGAGAGAGAGAGAGAGAGAGAGAGATAGAGAGAGAGAGAGAGAGAAAAAAAAAAAGAGAGAGAAAGCGACAGACCGAGAGGGAGAAAAGAGAAGACAAAGAGCCGCGAGTCGCGAACATGGAGCAGAGCGCAGAAGGCAAATAATACGGAGTCGAGCGCAGAACGCTGAGAGGCGAGAGTAGAGAAAATAGGGTGGAGGTTCGCGGGGGGCGGCAGGTGGATGGTGTACATCGCAGAAATGAGTGGGAATGTACAACGTAGAACGTGGAGCGCAATCAGCAGAGGGTTGGAAACAGAGTGAAGAGGCGAGTCAAGGACAGACATGGCTGATAAAGGGAAATGCACGACGGAAGCAAGATGCGCAATCCTTCACCCCTGCGAACCACCAGCGCCAGAGGGGGACGGGTATAGCATGAATCACGAATTCTGGTTAGTCCCGCCGCTTTCTGGCAGACGCACCAGGCAGCCCCAGAGGGTGGCGCTGGATCAGGTTGTACTCTGGATGCGCACACTGTGTAGTGAAAGCTCTGTGCGAGCTACGTGGTTTTAGTTGTGGTACAACCTATGTGGTGCAACAATCACTTGCTCAACTTGAAGCTGTCCTCTCTACTGCTCGTGCAAACATCCCACCCTCCCACCCGCAACTTGGTCGCAAGACCTCTTCAGACAAGACCGTGACGGTGGGCACCAGATGGCACTTGGCCACGACACCGACGCCGACGACGACAGCGACGACGACGACGACGGCGCCGCCGACACCGACGACGACGACGGCGCCGACGTCTCCAACGACTTCGACGACGACAGCGACCACGATGACGACGACACCGACGACGACGACGCCAACGACGACGACGATGACAACGACGACGACGACGACGCCGACGACGACGACGCCGACGACGACGACGACGAAGACAACGACGACGACGACAACGACGTCGCCAACGAAGACGACGACGAGGGAGGAGGGAGGACGACGACGGCGACAACGACGACAACGACGACGGAGGGTGGACGGCGACGACGACAACGACGACAACGACGACAACGACGACAGAGGAGGGAGGACGGCGACGACGCGAACGACGAAGAAGGAGGAAGGACGGCGACGCCGACGACGACAACGACGAGGGAGGAAGGAAGACGACGACAACGACGACAACGACGACGACGACGACGACGGCGACGAAATAGGAGGGACGACGACCAGACGCCGACGACGGACGACGACGACGACGAGGGAGGAGAAGGACGACCACGGCGACAACGACGACGGAAACGACCACGACGCCAACGAGGACGACGACGACGACGACGAACACGAGGAAAGACAGAGGACGACGTAGCCGACGACGACGACGACGACGCGGGAGGAGGGAGGACGGCGACGACGACGACGACGACGACGCAAGAGCGCGCGCTTTTGCTGAAAATCCGTGTTGCGAAACCTTGGATTTTTGTATGTTTTTGGACACACGATTTCGACATCCTTCCGAAACCGATGGGTTTTCAAGGATTCCGGCATGCGCGCGCGACGACGCGCGCGTCTGCACTTCGTCCCGTTTTTTTGCAAAGGATTCTCGCGACGGCATACGCGCAAGGGCGTTCGACAGATTTCGACATACGCGCGCCCGAAGCCTGTTTAATAATAGAATGTTGTGAAAATCTTGAAAAACCAAGTGTTTTCTTAAGATTTCGCAAGAGCTCGCGCGGAAGCTTTTTCAGCAAATCAGTGTTGCGAAACCATGTGTTTTTGTATGTCTATCGGAAACTCGATTGCGAAATCCTTCCGGCACCGAAGGTTTTTGAAGGACGTCGGCATGCGCGCGCGACGACGCGCGCGTGCGCACGCACTTCGTCCCATTTTGTTGCAAGGGATTCATGAACAAATGCAAAGTTAGAACAAAACATGTCACCGCATAGTGTTATATATATATATATACTAGAACCACGCGCGCTACGCGCGCGCTTAGGTTCTAGCTTCGTCCGAAGCAACGGCCAAACAACGGACGAGGAGGTTGAAGGCTGAATGCACTTCGGTTATTCGTCGAGTTTCGCGGTCGTGGTTCGAAAAGCTGTTGGGCGCTCCTCACCCCCGGGCGGCCCGAGGCGGCCGAAAACGACACCTCTTCCTGGTCCTCCTCTTTCCCCCTTCTCTTGCTCCTCTCCTCCTACTCTTCCTCCTCCCCCCATCGTCCCCTCCTTTTCCCCCTTCATCCTCCTCCGCCCCCTTCCTCCCCTCCTCCTTTTCCTCCTCCTCATCCTCCTCTTCCTCCTCCTCCGCGTCCTCCTCCTTCTCCTCCTACTTTCCCTCGTCCTCCTCCTCCTCCTCCTCCTCTTCCTCCTCCTCCTCCTCCTCCTCCCCCGCACGTCCTCCTCCTCCTCCTCCTCCTCCTCCCCCTCCTCCTCCCTCTCCTCCTCCTCATCATCATCATCCATCACCATCATCACCATCCCTCCTCCTCCTCTCCTCCTCCTCCTCCTCCTCCTCCTCCTCTCCTCTCCTCCTCCTCCTCCTCCTCCTCCTCCTCCTACTCCCCCTCCTCCTCCTCCTCCTCCTCCTCCTCCTCCTCCTCCTCCTCCTCCTCTCACTCCTCCTTTCCCTGCTCCTTTTCCTGCTCCTTTTCCTCCTCCTGTTCAGACTACATGGCTCGCCAAACGGCGCTGCGACGCCGCGCGAGCGTCGGGCCACATCGGATACAGGGAGCACTCGGGGGAGGCCTCCCTCTTCCTCTCCCTCCTCCTGTTCCCCTCTTCTTCCACATCCTCCTCCCCTCCTGCTGCTCCTCCTCCTCCGCCCCCTCCTCCTCCCTCCTCCTCTTCCTCCTCGTCCTTCTCCTCCTCCTCCTCCTCCTCCTCCTCCTCCTCCTCCTCCTCCTCTTCCTCCTCCTCCTCCTCCCCATCATCATCCTCAACATCGGCATCATCATCATCATCATCATCATCATCCTCACATCCATCATCATCATCGTCATCATCCCCTTCCCTCCTCCTCCCCCCGTCCCCCTTCTCTCTCCACCCCCCTCCCCCCCCCTCGTTCTCCTCTTCCTCCTCCTCCTCGTCCATCTCCTCTTGCTCCTTTCCTCTTCCTCCTCCTCCTCCTCCACCTCCTCCGCGTGCAAGAAATCCAACAACATGTCGCGGAAATCAACGAACTGTGTCCCTCCGGGTTTTTGTTCGGGCGTCCTTTTAGGACTTGTCGGGGCCGTCTTAGGGCCCCCCTTGGGCGTCCCGGGAACCCGGAAATCATGTTCCGATGGAGGCTCCGGGGAACATGATTTCGGACGCTGCGGAAGAGGCCTCCCGAGAATCTCTATAGGCAGCTCTGCTTGCCTCCGTTGTGGCTCTGTTGGGTGCCTTTTGGGGCTCTCTTGGGCTGGCTTGTAGCTCTCATGGGTCATCTTGGGTCCCTCTCGGGCCGCCTTGGGGCTCCTCGGGGTGGCACTGTGAAGACGTCGTCGACGTCGCCGTTCGCCGATCGGCGGCGTCAACTGTTGTCATCGTCGTCCATCGTCGTCGTCGTCGTCGGTCGTCGCCGTCGACGACCGTCGTCGTCATCGTCAATCACCGTCGCCGATCACCGTCGCCGATCGCCGATCGACCCCGAGCCCT